GGAGTCTAATCCAGGCATTTCCTGGGAAGGCTGAAAGGACCTGTCAGTCAAAAAAGACATTACAAACACATTTCGAGGCTCTCCATTTTGAACAGGTTTGCTCTAGGCAGCAGGACAGAGCAGAAAGAGGCAGGCTTTGGTGCCAGGCAGCTTTAAACTTGAACTTGCATTGTCACTTACCAGTCCAAAGGAAATTGGCAAAAGATAATTTTAAAATCTGATTCCTCATAGGCAAAATGAGGATAAAGATGTCTAACTCAAAGATTTGTTTTAAAAATGACATCAGATAATATACGCTTAGTACCTCTCTGGTACCTAATGTCAGCAACGTTGAGTAAACAGGAGCGCTTATTAATTTAATCATTAGTTAAAAATACAAACAAGCAAAAAACCCAAAAGACATTATACATACAGTATGGGTTCAACTATTTACAAGTTATATGGAAAAAATAAAACCCCAACACTGAAATATGCCAAAATATTTAAGGTTTCCTATATGTGACAAAATACAGGTTGATATATTTTCTTTCTTTGTGTCTTTCTGAACTTTACGAGCTGTATGTAATTTGCTCGTGTTGCTTTTATCAGAAAAAAAAGCAAAGCAAAAGAGAACTAATCTCTCCTTTTATGTGGATCCTAAGGAGATGTTTTCATTATATCTAGGAAGATGGGAAATGAATTGCAAATTCATAAATTAAAATACCTGATTTGTTCCTACCAAAAATAGGACATTACATAATTTCCATAGGTAGCAAGGGCTCAGTCACTCTTTGAGTGTTAGTATCTATACTAAGGGTAACAGTTCAGTTTCAGCTATCAAATGCTATGCTTGATTGCAAAAGTCTAACTATACCGTTGATTCAGACTTTGTTAGTAGTTTTGCTTACAGTAAAATCTGGTCAGAATTAGTTTTTATGTACATGTGTATTTGCATATCTACATAGTTAACTTCACACAGTTCTTTTACCTTGATGTGTCTTAAGTTCACCATTTTAAAGTTTGATATTCCATCCTAAGACAAATTTTTAGAATATTTAATGATTATTTTGTTTGTCAAACAATAAGTACAGTCTTTGAGAAATTGTAACAAAATTTCTTCTTTAAGAAAATTGTATTTGGGGGTCATAATATCCCAGCTTTTAACTTCCTTTCTTTGGCAAATATCTTTTAAAATAAAAATGGATATCCTTTCAATTGTCCCTTTTTCTGACTTACAAAGGAATTCTCTTAAAGAGAGATCTCTATCAGCAGTAAAGCAGAATTGATTTATGAAAGCTGACAGGGCAAGAAAGTTTTTCTACATATAGACAGACATGGGAATTTCTACAAAAGGATGTTAACATTGTCCTTTTTATTTGACTTCCTTCATCTCAATTTTCTATCAAATGATACACCCAGAAGCATGTCTCAAAGTTCAAGCATTGTGCCACCTACCTGTACAGTCTGGGCCCCAGTGGCCGGGACAACACCGAGGTTGGAGATAGTCCTTCCTACAAATATGGTGGCATCCGGACAGATGCACAGTGTGTATGTAGGCCTCAACGGTGTAACTTGGAAGGTAAAGAGAGGACATTAACCCATGATTAGAGCAATGCAGCTACTCTAGGTGGTAGAACTGCCTTAGCTTTCAACGTAGGTCTTAATACTTATCTATGGTTAAAAAAATCTAGATGGAACATATTTGGCTTTCTAAGTAGCATAAAACTTAATTATGATTATTTTTAATTGTGAGAAATGGATGAAAAAAATCAGAGAATGGTGAACATGGTGGAGAAATATCTAAATGATATCAGAAGTAAAGTTAGTAGATAAAATAAATATTAAGGCCTAGGCACATACAAGAGATGTGCCTAAAACTTATCACTGAGTGTCCCAGCAGTCACTGCAGGAAGGGAGAGAGCACGAGTTACACAATGCACAGGATGTGTGGATTTAAAGCAAATCCACTGCTCAGGCTCAGCATATTGACTACAGATACTGTAGATGGAGAAATGCCTGTGGCAGAGACAGTATAATGCAGCAAGGAACATTTGCCACAATATCCTAGCAGGAGATAAAATGATGACTTCCTTAGAAGAGTTTCTAGTGCTGGCTGAGACATAGTTCTGGAATAACAATTCTATGGAGGTTAAACACCATTGTCTATTTAAAGGGATCTCTGCAGGCATGGCTTATTTTAGGATTAGACTTTAGTATCTAGAGACAATCCTTCATAATTGTTTCTTTCCATTTCTTTCAGCTGGGCTGCTGTTAAGAGTAATGTGATGGTGAGTTCAAGGTTGTCCTCCCAAACCAGTCCTTGATATGTAGCTGATTAACAGCACAGTCATATACTTTATGGACAGTCAAATTGGGGAAGGAGTTGACTTTTTTTGAATGGTTGAGATTACTGGCAGGGACACCTCTTTACAAAGGTGGGCAGGAGAGTTCAAGGGCAGAACCAAATATCCCTTCAGGAACTAATTTTGAAAGAATCCAAGTGGCCAATAGGTACATAAAAAGGTGCTCAACATCACTCAATACCAAGGAAACACAAAGCAAAACCACAGTGAGATACATCCTCACAGTTATTAGGATGGCTATTGTAAAAAGCAAACAAACAAAATGCAACAAGGGTTGGCAAGGGTGTGGAGAAATGGGAACACTTGTACACAGTTGGTGAGACTGTAAATTGGTATAACTGCTACAGAAAAAAATATGGAGGTTCTTCAAAAATTAAAAATAAAGCTACCATATGATTTATTAATTCTACTCTGGTTATATATCCAAAAAAATTGAAATTAGGATCTTAAAGAGATTTCTTCACTCTCATGTTCACTGCAGCCAAGACATGGAAGTAACAAGAGCCAAGACGTGGAAGCAACATAAACATCAATCTATGGATGAATGGATACAGAAAATGTGGTATATACATACACTGAAATATTATTCAGCCTTTAACAAGAAGAAAATCTGGTAACTTGCAACAACATAGATTAACCTAGAGGATATCATGCTAAGTGAAATAAGCTAGACACAGAAGAACAAATACCATATGATCCCACTGAGAGGAGGAATATAAATAGAATGGAATGGTGGTTGTTAAGGGTTGAAAGGATGAGAAAATGGGAAGGTATTGTTCAAAGGGTATAAAACTTTGATTACAAAAGATGAAACCATTCTATAGATTTAGTTCATATAGTAAACAACAATGTAATATATGCTTAAACGTTGCAAACAGAGAAGATCTTATGTTAAGCGTTCTTATCACAAAAAAGAGCGGGGAGAAAACTTTTGAAAATGATGGATGTGTTTATGACACTGCTTGTGGTGTTGGTTTCATGAATTATACTTATCTTCAAATCCATCAGGTTGGGTACATCAAGAATGTCCAGTTTTTTTGTATGTCAGTAATATATCAATAAAGTTGTTTTTTAAAAAATCCAAATAACGTAAAACAAAAGAACCAATCTTGAGTTTGTTCCAGCATAGATGAATGACACATCAAAGTTTTTATATCTAAAACATTTCTGAATGCAAAAATTTTATCCTATGTGCGTGTGTATGTGTGTGTGTGCTTGTGTGTTGGGATATAACCAACTGTCCACTTTGGCAATGAACAGAACAGTAGCCAGTACCAAAATGTTTTCAGTAAAGTAGCCATTTAATTTTAAACTTCAACTCTAATTATCTTGAATAAAATTCTAATAGAAATTGAAATGGGTTGCCAATGTGTGCCTACTTTGGTAATTGAGAGTTAGCTGCTGCATATGCTTGCTAATTATTTTTTCTTGTTTTCAGAAAGAATCAGATAGGAGGAATCAAGGTGTTGCAAGTCCTGATTATGCAGAGACATTAATCACGTACAATACCAACTCCAATCATCATATTCGAATCTACCCTCCAAAAGGAGGAACAGGTAAAGATTATCCCACCTGATAATACCCACTGCTTGCTAATTCTAGGTTAGTTAATACTGGGAAACTTTTATTTAAAATGATGATTTTGATTTTAGAAATACAGTGTGGTCACATTAAGCAAATGTGAATTTAAAATAGTGTGCTATAGTGTTAAGGTGTCATTTCAAGCAAAATAAAAAATAATCCTTCAACCCAGAATTAAAAGCAAACTCATTGAGTACTATCTAATTACTAAATAAACAGGCTGAGTAAACACAAAATTGTATTTGCAGTTGAACCCCATGGCTACACCCATTAGCTAGCAAGCATAACCACTTGCCATTCTTTGGCAGTATTAGCCTTGAATTTAGAGTTTTGAATCCCAAGAGGTCTTCAAAAATGCAAAGTTCACATAAAATACAACCATACTGTAATTCATTTCCCCCCCTTCTTCGAGTTCTAATTAGTATCAAGGTCCGTAGCTAGTTAAAAAGATGACTATCAGACTCAAGGCTTTTATCACGTTTGAGACTAGAATTCTTTCCAAATTAAATAAAACCCAGATTTTCAAAATACAGGTAAGATGAAAAGAGAATGTTTATGTGCAATACAAATAAGTCAATTTTGTATTAAAATGTGAATGAATAACAATATACATTTTATGTTTTTAAATTTTTTTGAGACATAGTTTCACTTTGTTTCCCAGGCCGGAGTGTAGTGGCTCCATCTCAGCTCACTGAAACTTCCTCCTCCTGGGTTTAAGTGATTCTTTTGCCTCAACCTCCCAAATAGCTGAGATTACAGGCAGGTGCCACCATGCCTAGCTAATTTTTGTATTTTTAGTAGAGATGGGGTTTCACCATGTTGGACAGGCTGGTCTCAAACTCCTGATCTCAAGTGATGCTCCTGCCTTAGCCTCCCAAAGTGCTGGGATTACAGGTATGAGCTACCGCGCCCCACCAACAATATGTATTTTAGACTTAAGTGCATAAATTGTGAGTTACCTAAGTTTGGGCTTATTGTCCTAAAGCAAGAGAAAAGCCATAGTTTTCTCTTTGCAGTTTTTGAGATAGGTGGTTTCAAGTTGGATTCACAGTTTGAGCACATTTATTTTTCCATGAGTACCTGCAATCTCGGATTCCTTCAGTGCCACTGGTAGCCTTGGTGTAACCATCCGGGCAATTAACTGCAAAGTTGAAAGAGCAGGGTTGGCACAGAGTCCTAATTGTAAGAAGAGACTTTTGATCACATCTTCTTGTCTGTGTAAATATAAGAAAAGAACATTAATTCCTATTTTCAGAGTCTTGTAAAACATCTAGCAAGGCCAATAATGTCTCCAATCATCTCAGTGGAATGCCAGGGATGGTGATAAGATTGATTGGTAATGACGGGTTTGCTCCTTTAAATCGTATCTGGAAAGAGTATTGGGATCAATAAGCAATGTCTGCCATGGCTGTGGGTGAAAGAAGTGCCAGCGCCTTGGAAGACAGTTACTGTTTCAAAGATATTTGCAATCTTTAGATGACAATCCAACTGAAAAGTAGGCTCCAGGAGAGCAGGGATCTTTCTCTGTTTTGCCCACGGTTGTACCCTAAGCCCTAAAATAGTGTCTGACACATACCAGTGTGCAGTGAATACTTGTTGATTTAATGAATGAATTAGGGAAAGCAGAATGTTTAGCAACATAAGGCGGTGGAGATGTAACTGCTAAACTGAATGATCCACACTCAGTTTGGCACTGTCTTTAGGATCCCCTGTTGCTGATAATGCTGAGGCTGATCATCCCAGAGAGATACCTCCCTTTCCTCAACTTTTCTTCATTTCCCCATTAAGCTTAAGATGAAGCAGCTTTGTGCAACAAAGAGAGACTAAACTTGGGGACCAAAAGACCTAAGTTTGAGTCAAGTTCTATATCTTCCTAAGTGTACAATCTTAAATGAATTCTTTACCCTTTGCCATCACCTATAAAGGGAAGATACTAAAAACCACTCTTGAGGTTACTGAGACCTTTAAATGATGACGGTCATTTAAACAGGTGCGGATTTCCTGGTGAACGCCTGAAGTATCACAGGTGGTGAATGCTGACTCCTGTAACTCTTCACCCACCTTTGTCCCTGTCTTCTCTCCTGACTGGTATGTTCTCTCCCGTTCACTGGGCTCCCTAAACCAAATCCTTCAAGTGAAAGGTGGTTTAACACCACCTCTTTCACAAAACCACATTCATTTTTCTTCCCTTTCTCAACTTCTGCTCTTCCTGGGGCTGGCCCAGTGGAGCACATTTTGTTGGTCTTTGCTCTCTGTTAAAAAAACCCCTTCTTGGGCAGGATCATGTCTCATGGTTTCATATTATCGTCAGCTCATCCACAGGCCTGGCACTAGGTGAGGCGTGGTGGAAATGTTACGACTGCTTCCAAGTTCATTGAAATATATAACGTCTGCATAAAAAGAAAGTTTACGCCATGCGCGGTGGCTCACACCTATAATCCCAGCACTTTGGGAGGCCGAGGCGGAAGGATCACCTGAGGTCGGGAATTCAAGACTAGTCTTACCAACATGGGGAAACCCCGTCTCTGCTAAAAATACAAAATTAGCCGGCCGTGGTGGCGCATGCCTGTAATCCCAGCTACTCAGGAGGCTGAAGCAAGAGAATCGCTTGAGGCCGTGAGGTGGAGGTTGTGGTGAGCCGAGATCGTTCCATTGCACTCCAGCCTGGGCAACAAGAGCGAAACTCTGCCTTAAAAAAAAAAAAAAAGAAAAAAGAAAAGAAAAAGAAACTTTACATCTTCAGAATAATTATTGGTTATGCATCCTTTCAAAGGCATCATCTTATTTGATCTTCACTGCTCTGAAGAAGGACTGGTATCATCATACTCATTTTAGCGGGAAGAAAACTGAGGTGAGGGGTGTTGCAGTGATTTGCCCAAGGTCACCCTGTGAGTTTCTGGTCTTGTGATTCCTTGATTAGCCCTTTCTCTTTCCTGCACCTGAGTGGAGTATAGAAAACTGAAATCTCTATTTTTACCAGGAGCTTTCATTTGGTGATCATCATGAACCAAAATAGCACTAGAAGTTTCTTTATTGAGTAATAATAAAAGCTACACTTAGCTATAGTTTGAATTAACCTTCTTTGTCATGACACCTCTGCATCTTTTTTAAGCAGGCTTTTCTTTACATGAGGGTTTCACATTTGGATAAATATGTGGGGTTACATTACTTTGTCTTTTCTTTCTTAGTGGGCTAGATTTAAAACCCTCTCCTTAAGAAACCTCTTGACCTTCAAGTTGCCCTTTTCAAATGAAAAGACTCATTCTATTTCTCATACAGTATTCACAAACTTGTCTTCTCTGAAAAGTAAATTCAGCTTGTTTAAATCAGTTAAGGTCTGATTTCTGCACGAATGCAAACACTTGGTGATGATGATGGTGATTAAGAAGATGATGATGGTGATGGTAATTACTACCATTTGTGGTGCACTGTCAGGGGCGAGACTGAAGCCTGAAGAGTTAAATAACTTGCTCAGGGTCAAACAGCTGTGGAGGATCATGACCGCTTCTTAGACCTATTTGTTAAACAGAAAAATGAGATCCACAGTTCAAACTCACCCCTACCTAATTTCAAAGCTGGAGCACTGAGCTATTAGGCCGTCTTCTCATATTTTCATGAAAACATTATCAGAGCATGTAGCCAACTGGAATAAAAATTGGTGTTGAAAAAATTTTCCTGGGACAGGTGCAGAATCACGTTTCAGATTCATTCTTGATGGATCAGAAATCAATGCTGTCTCATTGACAGCTGGCCTCACTCTGAGACAACACCTTGGTAAGCTTGCTTGAGGATTCAGAGTGCTGATGTACTTCATGGAGGCTACTGGTAAGACCTCCCTGGGGACTTTTACTACAACGCTATGGAAGGCAGAAGAGATGAAAGAATGAAGGCCTGATGATTTTGTAAAATATTTCTGATCCTTGTGTTCCTTAGTGAGATATCCACCCTGGAATTCCCCAGACCATCTCTCCACAACCATAGTTATTTTCTACAGTCAGAAAGATGGGATGGTAGATAGTCACGATAATGAGACTATTAGAACAAATAAAAAACAGGATGCCAATATCTGCACTGGAAAAAAGAACAGTAGCACTAAAATTAGAGATCCCAACAATGGTGGTTTAGCGCAGGAAGAGCAGCAAGTGGGTTGGAACACCTTCAGAAGGATGGTGCCTCACAATTAGAACCTTAGTCTCTACAAGTGTTCTCTGTATTTTATAAAGTCCAGATTATACCCTTTACCCATGACAATAGAGGAAAACAACAAGCTTTTGAACACATCATAGCAATTAACAAATGAAAAGAATATGAAAGTCTCTTCTTACCTGCCCTGCGGTTTCAGCTGAGAAGCAGAAATTTTGTACAACAAATCCAAGACAAAAAATTACAAAATATTGTAGCATGATGAGGAAATATTTGCTCCTTTTCCGTGCCAAGCACCTGTCAGCCTGACTTAGTTATTTTAACTTAGTTTTATAAACTCCCAGTGAATTCTTTCTCATTTCAGTGTTTACTTTTAAATCCTTTCCTTTCCTTTTTGCGAGATCGAACCAAGAGATAGGTGAGACCCGCCTCTAGAAAGGAAAAATGGCAAATCCAGGAGTCTTGGTGAAACTGGCCACAGTAAATGGTCTATATATCCTGGCTGACTGACAGGATATCCTGCAGGGGCTGAGGCAGAGGCTTGGGCCGGGATTTGTGCCTGTCAAGCTCCCAGAACAGTCCTGCCTCTCCTCTACTCTGCCCCCACCTCTAGTCCTGCCTACTACTGCCCTGCGGGCCTGCCAGCGTTTCCACAACCACACCATGGAACACTGCAGGCGTTTCAGTCCCAATGCAAAGGTTCAAGCTTGCTGTTGAACAGGGTTGCGGGAGTGCCCATAAGTGGGCACAGTCCCAGGTGTGGAATGAATGTTGCAGAGACCTTGCAAGAGGTGGTGGCTTCGCCCTGGGTAAACTCTACTGCAAAAAAAAAAAAAAAAAAAAAAAGTCTCCTTGCAGATGCTGACAGGTGGTTTGACTCATTCTTTCTTCTTTTCCATGTTACTTCAGCAACAAGTGACTGAGCCTATAGGTTTAATCTTACCCTTTAAGTTCCAGATCTAAAGGCACCCCTTCCAGGAAGCCTTCCTATCCTACCCCTCCACAGGACCATGAAGATGCTCCCAGAATTTTGCACATAATTCCATGAAAGCCTAGTCACAACTGTGTGTCTGTCTCCCTTGCCCAACTGTGGTTGCCTTGAGGACAGAATAATATAGCCTTCATCTTCTCTGTGCCCCTTGATGCCTAGAGCAGAGACCTGCACTTGAAAATAATAAAAATGGTTAATAATAATGATAGCCATCACTTTTTGAAAACTTACTGCAGGCTAGTCACTATTCTAGACCCCTCTATGGATTTCATTGTTTAATTCTCATGGTACTTGGTGAAACAGGGTTATTCTCCTCATTTTACAGAGGAGGAAACTGAGGCAGAGAGGTTAAGGAATTTATTCAAGGCCACACAGCCAATGGGGGTAAATCTAGTATTCAAATTGTGTGGTTCAAGAGCCAGTACTGTCATCCACTGCTCTCTGCTGCTGAAACAGTCAATATTTAATAAATAAATAGTAGATGGTGTTCCCAGTCCTACTGGAAACCATGATGGGAAAAGTGTCAGACCCAGCACCAGGAAGGGTAAAGTCTGGGCTTATCAACACACTGGGCACATCTCATGACACTAAATTAAATGGGAGATTCATGCACTTACAGATACTAATTTTGGTTAACTGATCATTTTTTTTCCTCTACAAAGTTTCTCTATCTCTCTCCCCAACTGCTTTCAACTTTTGAAACAGCAATTTATAATGACCAATAATCTAGGAAACTTTTCCAACATAGGCCCCTCAGAGGCCAGCCCAGAAACCTGGGTGAGGAGCTTAAAAAGAATGCCTCACGTTTAGCTCAACTAGAGAATAACTCAATCAGAATGCCTGGGAGTGGGGCACAGGAGAATTTTCCAAAGCTTCCTGGGTGATTTCACTTGCATTGGATCATTGCTTGGGGAGAAATGGATTACAACTGTGTGAAACCAGTAAGATTTTGATGTTTATCCATTACAGTGGCTGTGTTACCCTAAAAAATACACCCAGGACTTAAATTGGATGCTTCTTTCTGATTC